AGAATAAAACTGCAAACAGTAGAGGAAAATGAAGTTTTGGTTCTGTGTTCATCCTTGGGAAAAAACATTGACTCAATATTAAGGTAAATGATATAAAGAATCACTTTAAACTAGTTTAGTATTTATCATATAGAATTAGATGAGTTGATAAAAATAAATATTAGGAGAAAAAATGTTCTAAAATGCTTTCCTTTAGGCAGAAAGCATACATTAACAGCTCAGGCAAACCTCAACAAGGACATAAATGAGATTAAGGAAAATGAAGTAGATGATAGACTGTATGAAGTACTAGGAGATATGACAAGTATATTCTATGTGACTGCATCTTATACAGATTCACATACCTACTGCTACATGGTGACAAGCTGCTATAATTGCTGTTAGGAAACTGGAGGGTGATCATAGTGACATTATGGCTTCTAGCTTCAACTCACTGCTAGGGCACATGCAGGAATTATACACAGGAAGGGTCTCAGAGGTCTTTAGTCCTATCTGTACAGTTCAATTAAATGTAGTGCATGATTTTCATTTGTAGAATCTTTTTGAGGAGACCCTTTCATCTAAGTGATAAATTAATTATGTAGTTATTGAGTGGCCAGTAACTATAAAGAGATTATATTTAGGACAAAAAAAATCACATGATCATCTCAATAGATGTAGAAGCCTTTGACAAAATCCAGCACTCATTCATGTTAAAAACACTGGAAAAACTAGGGATAAAATGAACATACCTCTTTGGGAGAGAGAACAAAACTGTCATAAAGGCTTAGACGACATATAACATACCCAAGGCCAACATCATACTTTAACAGAGAAAAACTGAAAGCAGGAATAGGACAAGGATGTCCACTTTAACCACTCCTATTCAATACAGTTCTTGAAACTATAGCTGAAGTGATCAGACAAGAGAAGGAAATTAAAGGCATACAAATAGGAAAAGAAGAGAGCATATTATCTGTTTGTTGATGACGTGACTGTATACTTAGAAGAACCAAAACACTTCATCAAAACGACTTCTAGAGCTAATAAATAAATTCAACAAAGCAGCAGGATACAAGACCAACATACAAACATCAATAGCTTTCCAATATTCTGATAATGAATCTGCGGAGAAAGAAATCAGGAAAATAACTCCATTCACAATAGCCACAAGAAAATTACTCGGGAATAAATTTAACAGAGGCAAAAGACCTCTACAATGAAAACTAGAGAACATTGAATAAACAAATTGAAGAAGACCTTAGAATATGGAAAGGCCTTCCATGCTCTTGGATAGGCAATTAATATTATAAAAATGGACATACTGCTATATACAGACTTAATGTGATCACCATCAAAATACCAATGACATTCTTCATGGAACCAGAAAAAACAATCCTTAAATTCATATGGAAGAATACAAAACTCAGAATAGCCAAAGACATCCTGAGCAAGGAGAGTGATACTAATGGCATCAAAATATCTGATCTCAAAATTATATTGCAGAGTGTTAGTTACAAAATAACATGGTATTGGCATAAAACAGAAATGAATAGAAGACGTGGAGACAAATCCACAGAGATATAGTCATCTGATCCTTAACAAAGGTGTCAAAAACATACATTGGAGAAAAGATAGCATTTTAAACAAATGGTGCTGGGAAAATAGGATATGTAGAAACAAGAGTATGAAGGAAACAAGAGTATGAAGAGAGAGCTTACAGAATGAGAGAAAAATCTTTGACAGTTATTTTCCAACAGGAGATTAATAATAAGAATATATAATTAGTTATATATATGTAATCAAATATATATATTTGTAATCAGTAAGAATATATATATATATATATATATATATATACACACACACACGTGTATGTGTGTGTGTATCTTAAAAGACACCAAAAACAAGCAAACAAAAAAAACAACAAAACCCAATGAACTAAACAGACTTTTCTCAAAAGAAGAAATGTCAATGGACAATATATGCATGAAAAAATATTCAATACCCTTGGCAATCAGGGAAAGACAAATCAAAACTACACTCAGATTTTATCTTACTCCAATTAGAATGGCAGTCATCAAAATTATAAATAACAAATGCTGGCAAGAATGTAGGGGAAAAGGTACACTTATACATTGTTGGTAGGACTGCAAATAAGTATAACCACTCTGGAAAGCAGTATGAGGAATCTTCAAGAAATGTAACCACTATATGACCCAGCTATCCCACTCCTTGGTATTTATCCTAAAGAAATAAAATCAGCATACCATAGTGATACAGTCACATTGATGTTTATAGCAGCACAATTCACAATAGCTAAGTGGTGGAACCAGCCTATTGATGATTGGGTAAAGAAAATGTGATACACACACACACACACACACACACACGTTTTACTTAGTCATAAAGGAGAATGAAATTATGTTATTTGCTGGTAAATGGATGAAACATTATGTTGAGTGAAAAAAATCCAGGCACAGAAAGTCAAAGGTCAAATGTTTTCTTTTCTGTGTGGAAGCTACAGAGTAATAGGAATTAAAAAGGGGGGTGGATCTCATGAAAATAGAAGGGAGAACAGTGGAGTAGAAGAAGGGTAACAAGAGAGGAAGGAAGGATGGAAAAGGGAAGGAACAGCAGAAGGAAATTAAACAAACTATCATGTGCACTCATGTATGAATATATAACAATGAATTCCACATTTATGTACAATTCTAATGCACCAATTAAAAAATAAACCAATAAAGAAGATATCGTTCTTAGGATCTTATATATTTAGGGATGTGTTTTATATATCTAGGAAAAACTTTGAGACCACTTATAAAGCAAAATACAATGGAGATAAATTAGCATCAACTTAGTATATGTTAAAAATAAAGAGACATGAATGAAAGAGTTATCCAGAATGGAGTGCTGAGAAGATTGGAAAAGGGACTTTCCAGATGGATGGCCAACACTGCCACTCAATGTATGGAGGGTCATGGCAACAGGAAGAAATGCAGATGGAGGCTCAGACAGCATCCAGGGCCAGGAAAGGATCAGGATGAACCCAGGCACCAGAAAGTTCCTGGAAGATCTCAGGCAGAGGGGTGACAGGGTGACAGCTGATTGTGGATGCTCTTTTATAGGTGAATGGTATAACGATGAAATATTACCTGCAATGAATTTCTCTTTAATTTTTGATGTTTGCAGTTTTTTTTCAGATTAAAAAAAGTAAAAGAAGCAAATTATTTTTAAAACCTCCAAGTGTTTTTTTAATATCTAGAAGCACGTGATGTAGACAATTGAATATTTCATAGTCCCACGTGTGAAGATCATCACAGTTCGCAGGATGTTGCTTAGCATTAAATTTAAAGAGAATCATTTGGAACTTTTAAATTATAAAGATAAATATTTTCTATTTTCCTAATTTTCTTGTGGTTTATATTATATTATAAAGTAAGATTTATTTACTATCAAAAAGGGGCTTTGTGGTTATTTTTTTCCCTTTGACTTTCAGAATGTGATTCCATTAAAGAGTTCTGGTCTGTATGAAATAGTGCACTGAACTCTTTGCTCATGTGTGTCCTGCTTGGTGGAACCACATGCCTGGAACCTAGAAATCCATACAGTCTAGAGACTGTGAAAGGTATAACTTCTATTGATAGTTGAAAAAGCCCATTTGGAGGCATAAGTCAATAAGGACAGGTCATAGATAAAACTAGCTCCCACAGTTTGTGTTCAATATCACCTTGATGTAGCTACTCGATTCTGAATTCTAAAATGTATTTTGCTGGGTGTGGATAAGAAAGTTATTCCAAATCTCTATATCCCTGAAAGAGGTAAAACAAACAACCCACTTCAAAAAACAAACAAACAAACAAACAAACAAACAAACAAAAATAGATACTGCACATTGATATGTGAGATTAACAATCCAGGAGAAATACTAACATGTCCATCTCTTATTGGTTTCATGGATCTAAGGATCAGAAATAGTCAGGTATAATTTCTTCTAATAATTTTCAGGGGTCAAGGTAAATCAAATTACCTCTTGAACTGAGCTTGTTTATGTCAAAGGAAAGTACATTCAATTCAGGACTTTGAAATTATAGATGGAGAATGATATAAGAAACACACAGTGAAAATCTTGGAGGAAATTGTGAGATTCATTCATTATCTCCCTTACCACCCACCACAAGTTCAAGGTGAAAAAAATATTATGATAGAAGATTTGAAATCTGGAGGGATGACTGGTCACTGATTTGGGCTTCTGAAGGAATTTAAGATTCCTCATGAGAACTAGGAATTCAAGGTTGAGCAGAACTTGAACCTAGGAGTGGTAATGGAAGGGAGAAGTAGAAGAGCACTTGGGAGGTAATCAAAAATGGGAGTTCATAACCCACTTGAATCTAATGTATGAAATATGATATGTCAAGAACTTTGTAATGTTTTGAACAACCAATAAAAAATAAATAAATAAATAAATTCAAGTATCAATACCAAAAAAAAAAATAATAAAATAAAATAAAGGAGGAAGTGGCAAGAGCAAACTACGTCCTCATAGTCTTCACCAGATGACCAGGAATGCAGGGACAGTCCTCAAGGATTTAGATTAGACAAAGAAGAGAGAGTTAGATGGTGGGTGGGTTTTTAAGGGCAACTGTAGAGTAGGCTTCCCTGGGAAGTTTCAAAGGTAAAATAGAATCTCATCTAGTTTAGTCCTGGCTGAGAGTAGAGAGAACAAGCTAGAAAGTGAAAATAATATCTTCCTTGTATAGGGTTTCACAGCTTTTAAGATTGACATTTTTAAAGCTGACATGAGCTCACTGTACCCTCACTAGAATGCTGAGAGGTAGCCAGGGCCAGAATGACTTCATTGGTGAGGAAATGGAAAGACAAAGGTTTCAGGTCCAGTGGGGAGGACAGAGGTAGAGGAAGGAAGGCAGACCTCAGCAGGTTTTGAAGTTTAGAGGGAAATGAATTTTTTTTTTCTTTTTGAAGCAACTTTTGTTCCTTTCCAGGTACTCTTGATTACTCACTGTTAAGTAGGCGGAAGTCAATGAATGGGTAGGAGCCACGGCGTTCAGCAGGAACCCCCGTCTGACCCCTTAGTCGTACATCTCCTAGAAAACAGAAAATCCAAACAAAGGTTTGAAGATGTTGCCAAGTGTGTTCACTTCTCTGCAAATCCTCTTAACCGATTATGTCAACGGAACCAACACCAGATGTCAGGAGAAGAATGATTCCCTTCCAGCGTATTTAAGAGAGTGATAGGTGGGAAGGGGTGTATAATTAATGCTGAGTATAATGAGCTTGGCAAAACTCTAATGAATGAACCACTGCTCTCTTATGTTTGCCTGGTCTGTGAAAATTAGAGCAACTTTTAAGGTTTCCTAAGTGTTTTTATACTTTTCAGGGCCATAAAGATGAGGCCATCTGAACCTGGAAGGACAAATGGTGTGTTGGTATCATAGCTTTCCTTCTTAGCAGTGTCATTTCTCTTGGTCCCAGCACAATTGCTTTCTGACTGGTGATTATCCTCCTTTTCCCTAGGTTGTATCATAGATTTGCATTAGAAGCTAATTAGCTCCAGGTGCTTTAGACTGTTAACCACCCTTGCACCTATGATAATCTGTAGAGTTTCTAGTATGCATTTATTTGTAGGCTTCTTTTAATGGGTGTATTCTTTTCCCTTTCTGATGTGTGTGTGTGTGTGTGTGTGTGTTCTGCCTTCCCCAAAGGTGGTAAAATAGCACAGAGGATGCATGAGTTTCAGAATAAGGAGGACCTTGGAGACGCCTGGCTCAGACAGTTGCTACCTGGCAATCTTGAGGAATTTATTTCTCTTAGCCACAGTTGCCTCATTTATAAAGTGAAAATGACTTGCTTCAATGTGCCATCATCAGTGTCTAAAATAACATTCGCTGCCTAGCAATAAATGCTGTTTCCTTCCTTCTAAACTCCTGCAAAGCAGGGATCCCTGCATATGATGTGATCTGCATTTCTCCATAGCACTTTGTGTGCTATCTGGAACGTGGTGGACCAAACAAATGTCCTTTGTTGACAAGAGTGAAAAAAAACAGGTTTTCCAGTTATTACATTTCTTGCAGAATCTGTGGAGAGGGAGAAATACATGAAAACAATATATTTCTGGAATAACTGAATCATGGAGGGTTTCAATTCTAGGAGTATCAATTTTGGGAGCAACGGAGCACCATCTATAAGCCACTTCTCCTCCAGACCTGAAGCATCACTCAGGCTTCAGCCTGGGAGCAGAGAGGAGGGACAATCTTCTCTCCTCCCATCCTAATTCCAAGTCTGTTAACGAGACTTGGGTGAGATCCCCAGCCACTGCAACCCTGCCACTGATGCTGCTTTAAATGTCCCTCACAGACGGGTCTCAAGTGTACTCAGGATTACTGAGTACTTAATAGCAAATACTCAGTGCAAGCCATGAGCTCTTGAGATATTCTCTGCTTTGAATTTTATATTTGTCCTTATTTATTATGCTTTGTAAAATCTGATATTTTACAGCCATATAGGTACTAAAGGATGCTACAATATATGGAACAAAAAGAGAGAAATCGATTTAAAAAAGATAAAAGAGATAAAATGGGAGGAGAAAGGAAGGGATAGAAAAGTACATTTAAAAATATGAATATAATTGGAAACTGAAGAAGGAAATGCTGTTAGTTTTTGATAAGTCTTTAGATGGTCAACAGTTGAAGGAAGCCACTCAGAGGAGTTGAAGGTTTCTCAGTGTCCTGGTAGGTGTCTCTAATACCCTATGTTTATAATGCTCTAGCATTTCAAAAATATTCAAAAATTATCACAGTGAATTTTTTGTTTTGTTTCTCTCACTGGATGCTCATCCTGTGAAGGGAGCTACTACTCTTCTCCTTATTTTATAAGTGAAAAAATAGTGGCTGAGGGAAGAACAACTGCATAGACCTGGATTCACTCTGCATTCACTGAGGGCTCAGCTCCCTCAAAGGTACTCAGTACAAGTCTGCTAACTTTCCTTGAACTTCCTGAGTTGATGCTTTTTATGCTTATAATGAGCAGAGCTGGAGTTAAATCTAGGTTCTTAGACTTCACAGGCAGTGATCTCTCCTCAATACCATTGGTTTCTAACCTTACGAAGTGTGTAAAGCTGATTTTTAAAAATGAAACAAAAACAGCAAAACATAACCTTGTGCTTGTACTTGCTATTGTAGAAGTTGTCCTTTTAGTTTCCACTAAGAAAATATAGCTTATTAAAATGACATAACAATCCAGTGCTGACTATAAATGAATTTCTATTTTATGGTGATGGTAAGATAGACATACATTAAAAAAAATAGAGAGGAGACTGTAGGCATTTGGTCTCTGAAGCTGGCTGGGTTTGGGGATTTTTTGACCTGTTGCTACATTCCCTTGGGACTCTTCCAGGGGTTTCAAGTTTGCCATTTGGAATTTACTTCTCTATTAGTATTTTCACCTCAGTATCACCAAAGAGTTGCCCTGGACTTTGTAGTTATAAGGGTACCATTTTCCCAGAGACCATCTGTGTAATATTGACATAGGTTAATAAGCCTTTCACAGGATTTATTCCTGTTGTCCACCTGGGGCTGTGAGGCAGACAGGCCTATCCTCTTGTAAGACTTCGGATTTAAGGAAACTAGACAGAGACAGAACTACAGGGCAGAATGGGTGATGGGAGAGTGATACACTAGGAATGAAGGGACTCTTATATTAACAGGTCAGCATTTTGCCACATTGGGTGACCTTGGACAAATAAATCAATAGCCATTTTAAGGTTCAATTTTCCAATATTTAAATTATAATTATAGCAATTTTGCCTACCTTACATGTTGTTGTGAGGAAATTATAAGGAGTGTGAGACAAAAGTATTAATGTTATATTGAATCCTTCCACCGTGCTGAGCATTTAAATTTTACATGCATTGTCTCATTGTCAACCCAACAATACAAAATATGTGTTATTATGATTTTATAGTTGAGGAAACTAAAGCCACTGGAAATTTGATTATTTGTTCAAATCTGTAGAGTGAGAGCTTGTGCTTGAACTCAAAGCTAACCCCCAACTGTATTCTTAACCTTTTCCCAAAATTATCAGCTATAATTCTGTAGGAGAATTGCATACATAGTTAAGCATTAACCTTTTCTCCCCCAGTGAATGCTCTGGTAGCTATTTTCAAGAAAACCAAACACATAGTCCTCAGGGTTCCCCAAAACTGAACAGCAGGGGCATCTGTTACCTGGATGAATTCAAGATTTCAATTAAGAAATGGAAAGAAATTATTAAAAATATTATTCCACAGAACTGTAATTACCTGGCAATTACTTTACTCAAATTCTCATTTAAGCAGAATTTTTATGATACACTCCATTTTTTTTTTTTGGAAAAAGAGATAAATAACTACAAAGTAAGTTGATAGCAAAAAATACCTAAAGCAACAAATAAGCAAAACAAACAAATCAACAGTAACAACAACAAATAACAAAATCATACCTGGAAGATTCAGTTTCACTGCTTATACTGTCTGTAACTACATTTATGGTCTTAGAAGTGGATTCCTCATAAGCCTCATGATATCCCTTAATGGTAGTAAATATTTGTTTTCAAAAAAGATTAAATCATGCTAAATATACTAGTAAGGTAGGAAGCAGGACAATTGCAAGTGGGCTACAATGCCTTTTAGAGATTGTTTTACCCTTAAAAATGTTAAATACAAACATCCCACATCTGGGCTATTCCATTTAATCAAAGTTCTAATGCAGTAAGACGAATGTATTAAGCATATATTTCTAATATAGAAGGTTCTCTTTCCCTCTTCCTGCTTCCATGAGCCCCTTCTGATGCTAAATTGCTTCAATATGCTGGTGGAAAGAGAGAAATAACTCAGTAATAACAGTCTCTGGAGGAGCAGAGGCCACTGGGCTGTTGTCCGAAGGACAGAACAAGTGTGTCCTGCTGAGCGGCTTTTCCTGGCTCCTGGTCTCCGGCAATCATCTATTTACCTAAGTCCTTATATCCAAGCTAAACAATTATTTTGACTATTCATTAAGCCCTTGTTTAACTTCAGCAGCTTTTTTTTTTTTTTTTCCTGGCAAAGGAAGGTGCCGTGGAAGCCGGGGAGGAAGCGTTGACAGCTCAGAGTCATGTCCTCAGTCTGTTCTTATTGTGTTCCAAAAGGAAACAAACAGCAAGGGAATTCTTATTTTGAAAGGGCTGCTGCTCTTTTGCTTCTTTACTCTGAAAACATAACATGTCGTCCTTGATACTGAAGGCTGCAAACATAGGCAGAGAGCTGAGCTGAGTTCCTCTGGGAGCCAAGACTGGGAGACAGCCCCTCACCCTCCCAGGGGATGTGGCTCCGGATGGACCTCTTGCCCACTTGGCCTCTTGCGCGGTGTCTGTTTAATAAAAGCTTGTGCTACGGAGCAGACGTTTATGTGGCCTCTTATGTAACTGGCAAAGAGGGTGGAGACTCTGACGGTGATGACAACTTACAGTGGCTGAAACATAGGCCATATGACAAGAACCAGACTCCAGCCCCAGTCGTGGGGGTGTCAAGGTCACTTCAGGGTGGGGAGAAGGCCTAAGAGAGGGACAGAGAAGTAGCTACTGTGCTCCTATTGCATCTGAGAAGAATGAGGAAGACGATGAAGAAACAGGTTGCAGGAATTCACAGCAGGGGCATCATTAATGAATAAGGAAGCTTCTCTGAAATTGTGGAGCATATACTAAATACGGCGGGGAAGCAGAAGTTCTGGTGAAAAGTATTCCTTTGAGCTTCTGAACACATTACTAGCTCATGTCACCCCTACCTCTTGCAAAATGAAGACATAGAGGACCTGATCCCCAAATCTTAGACCTGAACTTTAACCACACTGCACTGCCTTGGCTATGGATTTTGTTTCAGATGACTACTCTCAGAATTAGTTAAGAGCACAATTTTTCTTAGGATGTTTATCTAGCCTAACAAAGGTGGGGGGGGGGAGGTTATGCAATTTCATCACTCCATAGATTTATGGGATAGTACAAGCAGCCATTTGAGAACTCAGGCTGAGATTATTATTGTCCTAAGTACCGTGGCCTTACATGAGAGACCCAAAGG